TCCTTCTGCCTGCTTACCCTCCAAAATGCCCGAGCCGATACCCTGCTGCGTTCGAAACCTCCCAAACTCGTCGATCAACAACCTGCGGCGCAACAGTCCACCAAAGCCCGCGATTCCTTCTCAAAGCCCGCAAGTCCGAAGCCGAAAAACCTGCACAATGATAGAAAAAAAAAGTGATACCAACGACTGGAACAAATGAATCCGCCGAGGCAGAGTCCGATTTGCCAAAGAAACCAGCGAAAACTCAAAAGCTGCGCATTCCAACCCTAATTGCTAGGGAGACGACCGCCAATTACCATTCTCAAAAATTGTATACTCCTCATTCTTTCTTCTAATTTTGTATATAGTTTATCTTCTAGATATGATTACTTTTTTAACTTCTCTCCACTATTTAAATATCTGCGAAGTATTTTTTCATTTGTTGTAGATTGACAATTTGAACTTAGATTTTGGCGGTGTGTTAGGTTGAGTAGGTTTTATTGAAAGGGCCAATGGGGCATCATATGAATTTGTAAATTTTATTTTACTTTTTAACCCCAGGGGGGTTAGAGGGAGGGGGATGGCCTGGGGGAGCATAAACCAAATAAGGTTGAAACTCCTCCACGAAATTTCAAAGCCGAGAGCTTCCGTATGGAAGAGAGAGTCATCAACTAGGACCACTTCCTTTAAATTATACTCTATATATGTATTGATACTAGTAAACAAAACCTAAAATGATTGAGCAATGCTACCACGAATGCAACGTCACCTTTTTATCAAATATTTATAAATAAAAAATTAAAAAGAAAATATTTTTTGACGGTGGACTCATTAATCCTAGAGAAGACAATTTATGCTCTCTAGAACTTACTCAGGTAAGTCACGAGACATGCACTTTGAATTCGAGATTTGTAATCTATATTATACGTAGTATTTAAAAATGGAATATTTTTCAAAAAAAAAAAAAAAAAAAGCGGCAGCAACCCCTTTGGGCGGGAACACGGTAGCAATTAGCTTTTTTGGTGATTAATTAATTGCTTGATCAATCGATTAGCGTGTTTAATGAAAGCAATTCCTTACACACCATAGAAATAGTTTGGGCGGCCATGCAATTGCTATAACTGAATAAATGTAATTGTAAACCGTTGGAGAGAAAATTCCACACAATTAATGAAATAGCTGCAATTATTACACTTTTAAGACAACATATTTATGGCAAAAAACGGGCCTGTCTTTTGGCCTTTCATATTCCAATGTAAGTTTAATCCCAAGGATGTTTCTTAGCTATTTCTTACGAGTGGAATACACGAAAAAGACTTACAATTATTCAGGTTCGAAATACCAATGTGTATTTATTGTTTTTTTGCGGTGTGCCTGAGTGCCTCCTTTCCAACTCTTGCAAGGCCTTCAGTCCAGAAAAATAAGGGTGTGAATATTTGAAAAGTAATGTCAAGACTGCTGGTGGTCATGCAAAATGAGGATGGAATTAAAGGTATTGCGGAATTTTAAAACAACTTCGGGTAGTACGTAATGTCAATGCTAAAAAATCGTATGGACACCGATGACAATGAAGAGAATGAATCATCTCAAGTTAAGTGGACTGTGAGTGAGTGATTTTAATTAAATAAACCCTGAAAGGAGCATCTAATAAATTGAAAAGTGTCATTAATCAACAAATCAGATTGTAGTCGAATACTACTTTTGACTAATGAATTGTTACATGTGTCTTTTCAGTTTGTGATAAAAGCTTTCTATGTACATGTATCTATTTTCCATTCAAGCTTTGTTGAGCAATAGGTACTTCTATGTCCATGGAACTCATTTTTTTTTTCTTGAAATATTTAAATTTGTTGATGTATCTTATACAGACAAATTTGAAACACAGGTAAAAATGATTTCTCTATAAATATAATATCATTATAGGTACTATTGTTGGACGATGATATTTTACTTTAATATCTATTGCGCTGTGTTTAATAATTAAAAAATAAATTAAGCAGGCCGCATATTTGAAAGAACTTAAAGTAGTAGACATAATTAATTAGTTTTTATCTTAAATGCTAACATAGGAAATCAAAATGGTGCATTTTGGGAGAAACTTAATGTTTAATTTTTTCTCTGTTTTGAATCTAAATTTTTTCATTGTGGCTTAATTGAAGACACTGTTTTTTTTGGGAATGCTTTAATTAACTTGAAACATTATTTTTATGTGATATTTTAGGGCAATGTTGACTTCTTTTTCAATTTATAGGTACGTGCTTCATGGATGTTGTTTAAAAGGTTCCAAGGATAAAGCACAAAATAGTTGTTTTGCTCATTTTCTAAGAGGAATAGAAACTAAAATCAATTACAGTTTGATTCTAGATAATGTGTTGTTTTGCTCATGTTTATAATCGTTAGGCGATTGTATGATATGCTCCTATATTTTACGGTTAAGTGGTTTTTTATTCTGCAGGAGTCTTATTTGTTTCCCTAATTAAACTATTCGTTAAAAATTAGAGTTACATTAACTATAAAAATTATTTATGTTGAGATATGCTCCAACATTTATTTTTGTTGATATGAGCTTACGAATTGTATATTAGAGTTACATTAACTATAAAAATTAATTATTTTGAGAAGCACAATAAAAAAATGTAATAATATCTCTATCCCGTGCATCGCACGGGTACTATACTAGTATACTCAATTACTCTTAGCAATTCAATGAATCGCTGATAATTGATCACTCACTAAACACCCTTCAGCTCCGATCTCCGGTGATGTGTTCTACGGAGTAATATCTTAGAATTGTTATACCGTGCACATGGTATTGATCTTATACGGTGCACATGGTGTGTACGAATCCAATGTTGTGTAGTTTCATATTAAAAAAATATTGGAGACACTCATCTCTTTTACCGATGATTCATTCATCTTCTTCACCTATTTTTTAGAGGGTCATCTATATCTCATTTTTCACTTCGTGTGATTCATATTTGAAAGTTTATCATTTTCATGAGTTAATTTTCTCCACGTGAGATTACCTTTTCCAGAAACACAAGTTATGTTTGTCACTATGTGAGACTTGTTAGATCATTATTTATTTGTGTTCAAATTAATTTTAATTTAATTAATGAATTTTTGTATTAGCTGGATTAGTTGAGAGAGAATTAGGCCCAATTCGTGCTCTACTAGGCCCATACGCACGCCTCATCTGTTGTTTGACTCGTTTCCTAATTGTAAAAGGATGCTTGATCTCTCCTATAAATACAGGCAGAGATGGTTCGAAACAACCTTAAGTCTCCACACATATTGTTCCACATATTATTCTCGTAAAGCACCTAGATTAGAAATTTTTCTCTCAATAGTTCGCCTGTGTATTGTTCTTCATTGAGATATTATTCTGAATATACGGTATTAATTGTTGATGAATTTCTCTTCTACTATCTAAATTTTGTTTATTATTATTTAGATTATTCGACTGTTGATCTGGGCATCGTTCAAACAAGACTACATTTTTAGTAATGCACATTACCTTTGTGAGTACGTGTGATTACATTCTAGTAACACGAGTTACATTTTATGCACGCAATCTATAGTGTCTTTACACGCCTTAAGTTGCATTTACCATTGGTCTCAAATTACATTTTTCATTATTAACGCGAATTAGATTTCCAAAAATGTGAGTTACATTTCTTTATCATATATACTAGCATTCCACCCGTGCATTGCACGGGGTGTAAGATACAAATATTATAAATAAATAAAAAATCATTTTACCTCTAATCAAATTAAAGAATATATTATAATTTATCACGGGAATGAGAGTAACCACTACTAAATACATAATAAAAAAATATTTGGAGTTTAATAAGCATACAATTTTACAAATTATTGAAGACTTCTTTGTAGACAACATTTTTTCCGGTCTTTTTCCGATTTCCCTCATCGTCGCATATCACGAACTTCAATCCAGACGGACTCGTCACCCTCGAAACTGCAACATATAACTGCCCATGTGTAAAAACTGGACGTCGTAGAAAAACGCCCACATTCTCTAACGATTGTCCTTGGCTCTTGTTCATCGTCATTGCATAGCTAACCATCAAGGGGAATTGCCTACGCATGAATGTGAAAGGTAGCCTCACATCTGTCGGGGTTAGACTAATCCTCGGGATAAGGAATTCCTCACATGCATTAGTTTCAGACATCATCTGTGCCTCAATAATATGTTCACCAAGTTTTGTCACTAAAAATCGGGTACCTTTACATAAGCAGGATGAATGATCTATATTCCTCATGAGCATCAGCGGTACACCAACTTTTAGCTTCATCTTGTGACTTGGAACACAAGAATATTTTATGCCATTAAGGAATTCGAGAGAATGAATTTCCTGAAAGAGCTCATTGTCTGAGGTTGAGGAACACGCTCAATCTGAACTGAAATATGTCTTTTCTTCTGAGCTGTTCTGCAGCAACATGAAATCATTGACCTTGTCTACCTCATCAGTCATCAATTGTCGGTGCAAGAATTGCTCTCCCTTCAAGATATGAGATCTTGTTCATGTTTTCCAAAAAATCTGGATAAGTAGCGTTGACAATGGATCCAATGGGATCAGACATTACTGGAACATGAAAATTTTCTGGTATATCAATTTCCGCTTCTCCATCATCGCTCCCTCCCAGAACACCATCACCAATTTGAAGTATCTAATCCGCAAAAAGCTTCAAAATACTTGGATTGGCCGATTCATTTGTGAAGTCCTTGAGTCTCATGTTTTTTGTTAACTTCAACACCGTAAAATACAGCCACAAATGTGATGCATTCAAAGATCCATGAACAATATCTTGTCTGGTGCCTTTAGGAATGACATGCAACACTTGTCTAATGTCTCCACAAAAAACAATCGTTTTTCCACCAAAAGGCAATTTTGGTTTATCTCTCATACTTCCACCCGTGCGTTGCACGGGATGTATTTTAACAACATGACCAATGTTTTTTTGTTTTACAATTAAACAAACAGCGTTAGATATTTTCATCACATAATAGGAAATGTCAAATAAAAAACTTCAAATATACACACTTGCACCAAGTTTAATAGGAAATGTAAACATGCTGTGACAAAGGCAACTAATTCCTGGTGAAGAGTGTTTGGGATTTCTTAGGCTTTATACATATGGATGATAAGAAGAGTGAAATGGAATAGCATGTGAAATGTGTAATTCTGTGGTGTAATGCCTTTAATAATACATTTGCCTGCCTTTAATAATACATTTGCCGCTTACTCCTGGTATCAATAGTAGCCATTGATAATTTGATAGTCCAACTTTTCCCCGAACTACCTTTGTGTTGGACAATCTCTTAAGATATATAAAGAGCACTCTCTTATGCTGATTTACTGACCTTGCACTCCATTGGATGAATGGAACCTGCACGTGCCTCCTGCTCAAAATGTAAGCGGTTGGCAGCAAACTTGTGGCCACCTGCCCGAAAAAACATATCAAAGATCTGAAATGGATTGAAAGGAATACAACCATGCCTAGATTAAAAAAAATAAGTATCACCATATCTCTCTGACATAAGCGCATTCCTTATAGTCTATGCTTGGGTTGAAGAGTCCACTCTACATTCATATGATCTATGCTTAAGCAATACATTATTTATAAGGTTAATAGTCAAAATAAAAGGTTAAGATTTAAGAATGACTTAATAGACCCTTTTCTCTTAAAAAAAGGTGTTCGCAGTTATATCAGGGAGAAGGTTATCATCTCAGAGAAATGAAAACTTTCATGATTACATACATCCGTGCACCAATAGTAAAAACCATAACTTAAACCATCAAATTGATTAAAATTGATAAATTGACAGCAAACCTGTTTTTCTTCTCATTCGAATTGAAATCCTGGTCAAGCCTACTTTATTCATGTGTAAAGCCACCACTTATCAGGTGAAAAATGTTTCTGATCAAAATAGAAAGTACATATTATAACAACCTGAAGTGATCTATATTTTCTAAAATTTTGGACTGCTAAATCATCTGAAGATAATACCAGCTCCTCATAACTAATTCAGTAGCTCCTCTCTGCAAAAATTCTTCCAAGAAATGCCAGATTGGAACAAATGTGAGTAAAGTCGTAAACTAATCATTCCTGTTATTTACTTATTAACTTCTTAAATTACGGAACAAATCCTTTTTGGTGACTAACTATTCTATAAGAGTATAAATCATAACGAAAAATTTGTCCACTTTTTGGTGGCCAACTATCCTATAAGCTGAATAGATATCCAGATACCTAAGAGATTATCGGCATGTTTCGAGAACAAATCAAAAGATACCAACACCTAAGGTAAATGGAATAAGCATGTGTTTGTTTTCTGAAACAAAATAGAGACCTCTTCTGATACAATAGGATGATAATTTACCCCATGCTTAATTCTTAATTTTGATATAATAAAATTGCATTCGGATGAAAATAGGAATTAAAATATGCTGATTTAAAGAATTATAAAAAAACTGAGATTTGGAAGAACCTTTGAGTCCAATCGCCTATCTATGGAAGAACCTCTGCGTCCAAGCGCCTATATATGGAAGAAGTCGGTTGAAGCTATCGATGAAGGGCACTTGGGTGGCTGGGATATCTCGATCATCGTTCATCTGCACCAACTGCATATTGATACGCGGTAGGAAGGCTGGATTCAAATCCGAGAAATGGAGGAGAGAATGAAGAAGAATTACAGGCAACCGTAGAGACTAATTGATTTGGAGGAGAAAGGATTGATTGGGTAAAGAGGTGAACTTCCTTAGGAACTACACTACAAATGAGTTTTTGATATTAACTGACATGTTAAAGAAGGAAGGACTTAAGTAGCAGTAAATGCTTAGGTGATATTTGTATACTTTTGAAATAGCACCAAACAACTCACTCTTCTTGGTGCATGTAAATTCTTGAGACGTTGGCTTACGGTTTAATCATATACGAACAAATGATTTATGCTATATACACCATTGACTCCCTGTTGTAAATTTAGTGACAAAAATAGGGTGAAAGCAATGGACTTTTAAAAAAAAATCAGAAGATGGAAATGTAAGGAAATCAGAAATAACTATTCATATATATAGATTATACGGGATCAATACTACTTTTTGTAAGAATCCTGCCTATATTTTAATACTAACTGCCTATTAAGAGTCATGTCGTGCCTATATTTATACACTTCATGTTTATTAAAAATCGCTATATTTAGACACAATATGCGATGACTAAGCTCTGGTGGAGATGTTTAATGAAAGAAAAGGGGTAGACTGCTTAATTATTCTAATCAGCATACAATAAGGTTTTAACAAAATGTGATAAAAAAAGATGAGCAAAAGTATAATAGAGGGGACAAATATGCAATACAATATTTTGCATCTATATACTCAATTGTATCAAAGCTCAATTAGATTATCTTAGAATATAGATGGCTTGTACTCTGTAGTCAAGAAAATGACACTAAGGCAAGCTGTTTTTCCTTGGGTCCTAAATAAACCAGAAGTCAGGGGCGGATCTACTCACACAAGAGAGGGGGCAGCTGCCCCCAATAAGATCCCACTAACCCCTTGTAAATTTTTAATAAAAATTAAAAGCCTAAGTAATTGCCCCCAACAAAAAAATGAATTGCCCCCAATAAAAAAATGAATTGCCCCCAAAAATAATTTGGAGTGTTGCGGTATTTGTTGGTTTGTTGCCTTTGATAGTTTAGTACTATCTATTTAGTATAGTTGTTTAATCCTCCTTATATATTCATTGTATTGTTTACTTTCCATATTTGTTAATTCTATTGTATTAATTGAATCATTACATTGTATAGTATAATCTCTAGTTTTATATAAATATTAAATGGTATTACTAAACCAATATTAATGTTATAAATTTATTATAAAGTTATTCATTTACATGAATTAGATTTAATATTTTAGAAAGATCAGTTAGATTTAATTTAATTGATTTGTTTCAGAAATAGTTATACACCTATTAATGTAATGTTTTACAGTATTAGAAATTACAAATTAGAAAATCGTATTTAATACGTTAGAAACGCTAAATATAAATAATATGTTACTTTAGGTAGTTAAATAAAATGTATTAATGTATTAAAAAAATTAATTGTGATGTATTTTGTTAAAACTTTTATTGAAGGAGATGTTAGAAATTAGAGGTGGGCATGGTCCGAAACGGTTCGAGAAATTAGTAAAACCCGTTATGTTTCTCTGAGGTTTCTAACGGTCCGGTACGGTCGAGTTCTAAGGATGGAGCCATTCGGTACCATGTCGTTTCAGAACTGTAAAAAATGGTACGGTACATACTTGGGTTATAAAATTATTGGTCTATAAAATACATTTACTGGTATGAAAAAATATAAAAATTAAATGCATTATTTTTGAACGGTCTGGTCTGGTATTTTTTGATTCTAAAAATCTAGAATTGGTCATGTACCTGTTCTAAATGGTACGGTTTCGATTCGGCATAAAAATCTATAGAACCATTTAAATACCCGGTATTCAGTTCGGTACCATTATGGGCCGATTCGGTACCAATTTGGTTTGGGTTTTATGTCAACCTCTATTTGAAACTGTTACAAATGAAACTGTAATGGATCTCTTCCAAAAGATAAAAACTAGGCGCGAACAAGTGTGATATATTTTGTTTAAACTTTTATTATTGTATTATTACATTAATACTTTATTAATTTTTGATGCATTTTATATTTACGCCGCCCCCAATAAGTTTGTATCCTGGATCCGCCACTGACCAGAAGAAAGCATACATTCTTGAAGCAACCGGAACACAAAGCAGATTTGGGAAATAAGTTTATTTGAAAATTATAATTTTGATCAAACAAAATAAAATAAATGATTTTTCAAAAGCTATGTGTCATGATAAACTAAACTGTCTTTTTTTGAAAGAGAGAAAACAGAAGCTCTTTAGCCTCTAAATTTTGAACTGCCTCCAAAGTACACACAAACCTGAAAAGTAATACAGAGTATAACCTAATAATATTTTGTAGTTTTCCTACATATAATAGTGACTTTCTCATAATTAGATTTTAATGAGCACTTCTCAACTTAAAAAAGATTTATCAGAATTTTGAAACAAAAGTACTACCCCTTAATTGGAACTAAATGAGTACCTTGCAATTGGAAAGTAACAAAACACTTAGAATAGATAATAGAAAATCATTAGGATCTTCTTATTTTCCTCTGAAATCAAGTAGGCAATGTTCATTGGCACGTTTTAGAATAGATACCAACATCGTCAAAAATAGGATATTTAACATGTAAAAGCAAATTAAAATACCGTAAATCGATATATCATACCTGAATTGAAATGAAGTTGGCTGAAGACACTTTCAAACATTTCTGGCCAACACAACAAAAAAGATTACAGAAGAATAGATCCAATCAGTTAAAACCTAATTCAAAATTTAGATAATACTATCCTTACCATAAGAAGCTACATAAGAGATGGATCTTTGTAAATCTCCTGGATAATTGATGAAGATGTAAAATGTTGTTAGGGCGAAACAATTTAATTAATAAAAAAGAGGGAAAAAAAATCAAAATTCAGAATATGCTAAATCGAGATACTTGTTCTTTTTATGTATAATAATTAAAATTGAAGTGTGAACCAAGTGTGAAGCAAATCCCGGAGGTAGAGGTTAATATGTATATGTAAGTAAACCAAATCTTTCATTTAACCTCGTATTTGCTGATATATGTAAAGTAATAAAGAACATGGCTGGAGCCTTCTAAACTGAAAAATGCAGGAGCAATAATCTCACTCAGACAATTAAACAAACAGTTTGTGTGCAAGAAGAAAACACTCTCTAGTGGAAGAATAAAACAGAAATGATGATCTAGTTTTGAAGAATCAATAGACTGTTCAAGTCATCGATAATGATGCCAGGGCCTCAAGTAAATACATCATTTGTTAATTAGTACTCCGTAATTTCAAACCGAAATCAAGATTTAACCAAGTCATAATTTCTGAGTACACTGTTTCTTAGTTGTAATCAGTAATTTCAATCAGTATTTTGATTTCATACTCACCGAGAATGAAGGATGCGAACACCACTGGGGAGAAATCGGCAATACCATGACGCTTGATACACGAAGGGCAACACTCTTGGATGGTGGAGAGAAATAGAAGAGAAAATAGCCGCAAAAATTGGATGGTGCAAGAGAAAAGCTGGTAGAACTGATCAGGTTTACTCGATCTAAGCCCATGCCGCATACGGTGTTGATGTGAGACGCCTTCGGTGAGATGGCTTGATACACGAAGGAGGGTGGCGTTCTTGGATAGTGAAAACCATTCTCGGTGAATTTTTTGAGCGGATGATTGAGACGAAGACTTGATACGTGAAAGATGAAAAAAGAGCGGGCCAAGATCTTTCTGAGCGGACGGTTGAGATGACTTTATGTCTAAGCGGGATTACTGTTCATTGAGATTACTCTTGTTGCTATATTTGTTTACATATTTAGTAGTGTGAATTACATTTGTGTACATGAGATTTACATTAGGAGTACAAATAGCACTCATATGTTTAAACAAATAGGAGTACATATTTAATATTCATGAGCACATTATTTTAAATTATAACTTAAATTTGAATAGCATTAAGTATGGGAGTACGATGCTCACCGTTCAAAGTCACACCATAGGTCGTTCTCCCATAACCCATGGTATAGCGGCTGCCCATCACTTACCCGCTTGACTGGTTCTACCATGACTTGGAGTTTGATTATACCCGCCCGCCCTTCTCTCAAACAAGTTGATGAATCTTTAGTGCAAGCATTATGATTCGCTCCCCTCTCCTCCATTAAGCTCGGTCTTTTGGTACTAACCAAAATAATAGTTCCAATCGCACCATGTATAGACATATGTTACATTGTTACACAATAGATAATTTCAATCAGACCAAATAAAAAATGTTACACAAAAAAATGACACTCCATCTGTGCATGACGGCCCCTAGAACAGTTAGACAACTATTTCGAAGGAAATGAGAGTAACTTTGATCGCACACTAATGAAAAGAAAGTACGATTGTTAAACCCGGGTCTTCTCATTAGTGGCACTGATAGAGTATTAACTCCTAGATTCTAGAGAGAAGGGAGAGCTAGAGAGAGAAGTGAATTGTATTAATGAATTTTGTCCACCCTTACAACTACTCCCAAGGGGAGTATTTATAGAGAAAATACGGGCTGGGCTCCCAAGTCTTGGGCTGGGCTCCCAAGTCTTGGGCTTGGGAGGCCCATCTACAACTGGACCGCTATTGGGCCGAATACAAAGCCACTGGTGGGCTATACAAATGAATAAGTGTAAAATCCGGTTCTGTGAGACTTCCGTGGCCGACGAGGGCATGGCCGACGAGGGCATGGCCGATGAGGGCATGGCCGATGAGGGCATGGCCGACGAGGTCACCCAGTTCTCCGGGCTTCTGGATCATATTCTGAGTAGACCTTTTCATGGCCGATGAGGGCATGGCCGACGAGGTCACCCAGTTCTCCGGGCTTCTGGATCATATTCTGAGTAGACCTTTTCCTGGCCGATGAGGGCCGATGAGGGCATGGCCGATGAGGGCATGGCCGACGAGGGGATGGCCGATGAGGGCATGGCCGACGAGGTCACCCGATTCTCCTGACTTCTGGTTCATATTCTGGGTGGCCTTCTTTCTGGCTGATGAGGGCATGACCGATGAGAGCATGGCCGATGAGAGCATGGCCGACGAGGTCACCCGGTGATCGTGGTACCTTCTGTTCTTCTGAGTATGTGGGTCCTGGGGCCTAGACCCATATACGCCATCAGGAGTCCCCCACTCTCTAAGTTGAGATGTAGACGAAGTGAAGGAGAGTAGACTTCTGTGCTTGATGCTCTTGGCCGGTGCGAGACCACGTTGGCCGTTCTCTGTCGTGGTGTTTGGTGGCCCTATTCTGAGTTTGGCCATTACCCGTTCCTTGATGTGGATGAGGAAGGCTGTTACTCCTTTGGTGCGCTTGTTTGCGGACGATGCGTGTTCTGACATGAGTGGCCGACGAAGGTAGTGTCTACCCTTGGTCGTTGATGGTTTGAACTTCCCTTTTGGGCTGATGAAGCCATTGTGGTTATCTCTTGTTTGAAGACGATGAGTGTCCTTTGTTTCGAGGAAGATGAATGTCCTTCATTTTGAGGACGATGAGTGTCCTTCATTTTGAGGCCGATGAACGTCCTTCATTTTGAGGACGATGAATGCCCTTCATCTTGAGGCCGACGGCTGCCGTTTCCCAATCCCAAGTGTGGGGATTTTGTCATCTCAGCCATTCTTTCAGGCCTGTCGTAATGCGATTTAGCGCGAGGACGACGCGACGAGCTTCCCATTTCGAGACGTGGGCCGTTTGCGGGCCCCTTGTCCTGGGACGTCGTCGGCCATACCTGAGCGTTTCGCTCGAAGGGACCGGAACGACGTTCTTTGTTGTGTGGCGTCGTCGGCCATACCTGAGCATTTCGCTCGAAGGGGGCGAAGCGACGTGCTTTGTTGTGTGGCGTCGTCGGCCATACCTGAGTGTTTCGCTCGAAGGGGGCGTAGCGACGTGCTTTGTTGTGTGGCGTCGTCGGCCATACCTGAGCGTTTCGCTCGAAGGGGGCGAAGCGACGTGCTTTGTTGTGTGGCATCCTTTAGTTAAACATTACAAGAAATAAGCAGAACACAATAGGTGCGTTGTCTATGGCAACGGCTTTTATTAGGGTCAGTGGCTCGAGGCCGAGGGGGGTAACCTTCTGAACAACTCGTACAAGAGTTAGCTTCCCAATGATTTTCTGAGCTTGGGGTGGGGTGGGGGCTCTGCCGTCTGCACCCTCTTCGGATTGCTGGTAGAACTTCACCGAGATGTAGGGCCCTTCGTATTTTGAGGGATAAGCCGTCTGCCGTGCGTCCCTTCGAGGAAGGACGAAGTCAGCGGATGTGACGCTTCTTCAATTGGGGCTCCTCGATGTCCTCTTCATCGCTGAGCTTCCCAATTTCATGCTTCTTCGTTGAGGTGTCCCCTTCCTGATTGCCGGTGGAGTTCCTTGGGGTAACTTTGACAAATTGGTGGAGTTCACCCCGTTGAATCAAACGCTCAATGGCTTTCTTCAACGCGACGCAGTCGTCTGTATTGTGGGAGGTGTTCCTGTGGTAACGACAATAAGTGCCACCCTGGTGGACGGCGTAGACTTCCATGGCCGACCGAGGATCTTTAGGGATGAGACCTTGCTCCTCCGCATAGTCAAAGATGGTGTCCACCGAGTGCGTGAGCGTAGTCCTCGGGACGTCCGTCCTCGGCTGCCATGGGCGCTCCTTCCGGTTTCGGCGGGCATGGCCCCCGGCCGAGGATGCATTTGGAGCCGACGCCTCGTCTGACCTCTTTGATGGTTGGCCTACGTCGTTCTTGCGGGAGTAGAGCTCATCGGCGTCAGCGTACAAGCTCCCTCGTTGGAGTGCCTTGGTGTATGACTTCGGCGGGTTAGTGATGAGGCTCCTTGCATAGGGGCTGTTGCGGAGAACGCCTTGGAAGAGGACGAGGAGGGTGCGCTCATCGGCACCTTCGACCTCGTCTGTCTCCTTCGTCCATCGATCGATGAAAGACCGAAGTGATTCATCGTGTTGCTGCTTTATGGAGAGAAGGTGGGAGAAATGTTTTCTCACGCGCTTCCTTCCGGCGAAGTGGGTGAGGAAGCGTTGGGCAAGATCCTTGTGACACTTCAAAAATTTAAATAAAAATAAAAATAATTTTTATTAGTCAGATAAAAATATTACGAAAATAACATTTTTATTATTAATTGAGTCAGACAAAAATCCAACAGTTGTAACATCCTAATCAGATAAAAAATTTCCAAGTTCACGATTTTTTTTAATCAGATAAAAATGGCCCGATAAAAGAAGTTACATTTTAGTATAAAATTAATTTTTATAACTATTTTAGATTGTATAATATACAAAGTATAAACTAAATAATTAAATTAATCATAATACATATATATATATACTCCTATAAACTAAGTACTTATATAATATAAAATCCTACGTAACTACGTAATAATAGTATATTTGATATATACTTCTACTACATATAAATAGCTTCGTATATATATATATTACTACTATTAATAGAAACCTACGTATAACCTAGTATATAACTAAAAATAATAAGTATACTCCTACTATAATACTTATACATAATAATACTCCCAGTATTATACTTTTTGGCCGGCAACTTCAAAGAACAAAATTAAATTCAACACCAACTTCGACTCCAACTCCAACTCTAACATCTCAGCCTAAAACCCTCATCTTTCCCTATAAATAATAGGCCAGAACCTACGTTTTCTTCATCCCAAAAACTAAGAAATATACATATATACGTATATATATATATATATATATATATATATATATATATATATATTTACGACCCAGCGTTTTAGCCAGAAACAAGCCTTGAAAATACTTCTCAAATCTTCCCCTTCGTAATACGAATCCAACGGAAAAAGAATCGTCGAAAACGGTCGTGAAACGAGGGAGAAAAGCCTCGCCGGAGTTTCGCCGGAGAAAAAACATTTCGACGGAAAACGGAGAAGAAGGAGGAGCTGCCGCCGCCGCCGTACCACCTCTGACCTTCGCCGCCCTGATACCACCATTTTCGGCCGTTCGCTCGTCCAAACGGAGTAAGTTCTTCCCCCCCCCCCCCCCCCCCCCCCCTGTTTTTCCCGTTTTCCGGCGAGGTAGTGAGGAAGATGACTGCCAGAATTTGTTTGGGCCTTTTTCTGGATTGGGCCAGAAAATTAAATTTGGGCCAGTTCGGCCCAGTTGCAATAAAAATTAAAAATAAAATAGTAAATAAAATAAATAAAATCTGGAAAAATATAAATTAAATACCTAGTATAAATATACATATTCGGACCAACCAGAATTGGAAAATAAATGTTTTAGCTATTTTTAATGGATTTAATGGTAATTGGGCCAATTTATACACATTTAGTAAATAATTAACTAAATAGCGAAAATAATTATGAAATAAATATTGGAGTAAACTAGAATAAATATATGGCTAACTAGGACCTTATGGACCATTTATAATTAATAAAAATAAGGTTTAGTATATTTAATTGTAATTAAACCGGTTAATAGATATATGAAATTAAAGGAATAATTATGGAAAAATAATTATAAAATAGATATCTGGACAACCTAGGTGAAATATAGACCCAAAATATAGTTATGGACGGTTTTTAATTTGTAAAGTCGATTTTTAGTCTATTTATTTAAATTAGGCCATATAAAACTAGTTAAGTAATTAAATAAGGAAATATTAGTATTAATGGTGAAATAAATAAATCACTGAGGTTGAAAAATAATATTCTGGACTAAAAATAATGTTTGAATAAAATAAAGAAAATAAATATTTTCGGTTATGTAAATAAAGTAATTAGATAATAATTAGAGAAAATTAAGGGTGATTATTGAATAAAAATTGGATGTTGTAGCCAATAATATTCGGATATTTTATTTAATATTAGAATTCAAATATTATAATTAATGGCTGAATTAATAAGGTAATTTGATTAATAAAAAGTGATTAACCAAAGTTAATGCGAATAATAAAATAAAAGGAGAAAATCGGGTAAAGTAATTACAAATAGAATAAATGACTAATTTATAATATTTAATTAAAAAGGTGATTATCTAGAGACCGGATTAGAGGAGAATAACTAGGAGCAACAGGACTTAAGGTAAGTTTCTCTGCCAATCCAAAATTGTTTCCTCGTATTATATGCTTATTATGCATTATGTGATTAAGTGTGATTTGTGAATTTTGTGTATGTGATTTTGAGAAGATATTATATATATGGTAGTTAAGAAGTATAAATCAAGTACTTTTGGGGTATTAAATATTTTTAAATACCTTCGAGACTTTTCAGAGAAATTAAGAAGTATAAATCAAGTACTTTTGGGGTATTAAATATTTTTAAATACCTTCGAGACTTTTCAGAGAAATTAAGAAGTATTTTTGAAGTATTATTAAGCGAAGATAAAATTTACATTTTCATAAGAAGATAGCATCTCGGGAGTAATCCGAGGTGTCGGTTTTTCCACATCCGGATAAATGTGGAGGGTGATTAGAGCTACTACTACTAAGAAGTACAGTTTGGATCTATGATCCCTTTTAAGCAAGATTTGGATCTATGATCCCTTTTAAGTAAGATTTGGATCTATGATCCCTTTTAAGCAAGATTTGGATCTATGATCCCTTTTAAGAAGAAGTTATAGTAGTAGTCCCTAATCATTCAAGAATTTTAGCATTGGGGTGGTTGGGTTCCGACCACTCGGGATGACTTACTACTCGGAGGGCTTGGAATCCCTTTTAGGGGGTGTGCACACTTAAGGTAGTCGTTTCGTTTCCAACAGAGCAGTTGTGGTACCGGCACTTGTTCGGGGTGGTCGTCCGTAACCACGGTCCACCGGGCTCTATCGAAAGGTTGAGCACCGCCCTTCTAAATTACTAGGAAGTTAGAGAAGAAGTGATTTTTTTTAGAAGTTTAAAAAGAAGAGTTACTAAGAGATTTTCCAAGAGAAGTTTCAGATTTTAGCAAAGAAGTGATTTTAAGAAAAATCAAAGAGAAAAGTATTTTGGAAGAGCTTCCGAGCTTACTATGCTATACGCTTTGCATTCAAAGTCTCCAACAACGAGGCAGAATATGAAGCCTTATTATCTGGTCTACGCCTTGCAGCTAATATGCAGGTGGGAAAGCTGAGGATTAAGTGTGATTCGAGGCTTTTGGTCGGGCAAATCAATGGCTCCTGTGAAACAAAGGAGATCCGGATGAAAGAATATAAGGCTGCTGCACTGGAACTCTTAGGAAATTTCCAGATGTATGAAATCCTGCAGATACCGCGAGCTCAAAATCAAGAAGCTGACATTCTATCTAAAGTGGGCTCCGACACGCCTGAGTACATCTCCAAGATAGCTCGGGTGGAGGAACTGTCAACACCGAGCATACAGCAGACCCTCATACATCAGGTACAATCCATCCCGAGGGACTGGACTACCGACCTAAAAGAATACATTGACAATGGGCAATTGCCCCAAAGTGAGGTCGAGGCCAGGCTTGTCAAGCTCCGACCTACACCCTCCTTGATGGCGTGCTGTACAAAAGGTCCTATAACGCACGCTCCTACGCTGCCTCAACACCAGTGAGGCCAAGCTGGCCATGGAAGAGGTGCACGCTGGGGTTTGCTCGGCACACCAGGGGCCTCACACAATGTCCAGGAAGCTCCTATTACAGGGGTATTTCTAGCCCACCATGGCGAAAGACTGTGCACGGATGGCACGCATCTGTGAAGCATGCCAACAATTTCAGAACGCCCCATAAGCACAGCAATCCCATTTTCCAGATAGGGTGTAGACCTCGTGGGACAGCTTCCCCGAGGTACTGGCAACTGCAGATGGATCATAGTCTCCATCGACTATTTCACCAAGTGGATAGAAGCGGAACCACTGGCCAGCATAACCAAGGCGCAGTGTAGGAGGTTTGTCCACAAGAATATCCTCACTCGCTTCGGTGTGCCACAGCAGCTCATCACGGACAATGGTACTCAATTCGAGGCCAAGAGTTTCCAAGACATGCTGGCCAGCTGGGGAATCAAACACACCGCAGCCTCCATCGCCTACCCATAGTGCAACGGACAGGTGGAAAATGCCAACCACACCATCTTGGCGGGCTTAAAAAAGAAGCTCACAGACGAAGGCGGAGGCTGGGTGGAAGAGCTCCACAAAATTCTGTGGGCTTACAGAACAACTCCCCGCAGGGCAACGAGTGAAACTCCATTTTCACTATGCTACGGCTTTGAAGCCAAAGCCCCTACGGAAGTCACAATTCCGACCCCGTGGGTCCTAGCATACGACCCCGAGCAGAACGAGCAGAACATGCGAGTCGATCTCAACTTCATTGATGAAAGAAGGGAGAACGCATTCTTGAGGTCGGAGAATTACAGACGCCAAATCAAAAGCTATTATGACGCCCGAGTCCAAGGTCGGGAGTTCCAAGTGGGGGACTATGTCCTCAGGCAACGATCGGTCGGCCAACCCAATGAGGGAGGAAAGATGGCCAAAAAAATTGAAGGGCCCGACATCATCACAGCTGTAGTCCGGCCCGGCACTTACAAACTAAGCACTCCAAAAGGCACAGAAGTTCCGAGATTATGGAATGTCCACCACCTGGTGAGGTACTACCAGTGACCCAGCGCTGTAAAGGAGACGATGAGCCCTCGCTAAACGGAGACTTTGCACAATCACAGTCACTGATAGCAGCCTCATCTGTACACTGTAAACTATTTACGGCTCCCATTGAAATTAATGAAGGAAGGTTTCAACACAAAACTCTCCCTGGAAGCAACCTATAAGCCTTCCAGTTTATACTCAACAATAAGATAAGTCGGGGCAAATTAATAAGTCCTCGTAAACACAGGCTCTTCAGCCCATTCTTAAAATTCTGAGGCCATTTTGTAAGACCTCGACGCTTCCAGGGACAACAGCCTCAGCGACTCCCAAAATCTGAGGTCACTCTGTAATCCCTCGACGACACACGCTCCTCAACCGGGCTCCAAAACCAAGGCAACTTTGTAAGTCATCGCGAATACAGGCTCTTCAGCCAAACTCCAACGAGCCGATGCGACTTTGTAAGCCCTCGCAAGCAAAAGACTCTTCGGTCTACAATCAATCTTTGAGGCGACTTTATAATCCCTCCATTCTCCGGGAACAACAGCCTCAACGGCTCCCGATCTCCGAGGCCACTTTGTAAGCCCTCCACAACCAAACAGGGAGAATAGCCCCACGCGGCTCCCAAGGAGAGAAGTCAAGGCATCTATATAAGCCCTTGTTCCTTCCTCATAAAACAAGCTGGGATAGTAGCCCAACGCGGCTCCCGAATATTGGGCTGAGGCGATTTTATAAGTCCTCGCACCCCACGAATTTTCGTCTCCCCCTTTAGCATTGAAGGCGGGGGGAGATAGAGGCTAAGCCGGAGGGTTGGACTACTTGACGGTCCACTCCTTGAGGAGTAAGTTTTCACACTTACCACGAGGTAAGTGTGGGAATGATCCTCCCTAAAGCTGTGGTACTTGCCATGAGGTTGGGCTACTTGACGGTCCTGACCTTGGTCGAGCACCACTCGCTTCTGACCTCGCCGGCTCCCGTATGAATCTCGCAGTATCGAGCTCTAGTCCATATCTCGCGGTCTAGAAGGTGGTCAGCTCCCTAAATTGATGGCGCAATGCCACAGTCTGGAATCAAAGTCTGACTACCTGCACCTCTCGCTTCCGACCCCGCCGGGCTCTCATACGAATCCCGCATAGCCGAGCTCTAGTCCATATCTCGCGGTCTGGAAGGAGGTCGCTATCAAAATCAATGGCGCAAACCCAAAACAGCCCGGTATTAAAGTTCGGCTGCAATACAATGCATCACTGTGAATGTGACACTTCAAAAATTTAAATAAAAATAAAAATAATTTTTAATCAGATAAAATATTACGAAAATAACAATTTTATAATTAATTAAGTCAGACAAAAATTCAACAGTGGTAACGTGCCAATCAGATAAAAATTTCAAAATTTATGATGTTTTAGTCAGATAAAAATATTTCAGTAATAAGAACAGCATTTTAGTAAACAAGTGAACCAGACAGAAAATTTACATTTACGACATTTTTAGTCTGATAAAAATGGTCTGATAAAAGAACTAAGTACGTATATTATATAAAAACCTACGTACGTATAATATATATATATATATACTCCTACGATATATAAACTATGTATGTATTATTAATACTTATATATATATACTCCTAATACTCCTACATACAAAATTACGTATATATATAAAACTCTAATAGTAAACACAAATAAACTAAGAAAACCAAACGCACGCTGCATTCAGAATTTTTCACCAAGAAGAACTCTCCTACCGGCGACCTGCGAGAGTCCCTACGTTCAAGCCAAACCAATTTAATTCCAACTCTAACTCTAACATCTCAGCCTAAAACCCTCATCTTTCCCTATAAATAATAGGCCAGAACCTGCGTTTTCTTCATCCCAAAAAAACTAAGAAATATACATATATACGTATATATATATATTTTTGCGACCCAGCGTTTTAGCCAGAACCAAGCCTTGAAAATACTTCCCAAACCTTCCCCTTCGTGATACGAACCCAACGGAAAAAGAATCGTCGAAAACGGTCGTGAAACGAAGGAGAAAAGCCTCGCCGGAGTTTCGCCGGGGAAAAACATTTCGACGGAAAACGGAGAAGAGGGAGGAGCTACCGCCGCCGCCGTACCACCTCTGGCCTTCGCCGCCCTGCTACCACCGTTTTCGGCCGTTTCGCTCGTCCAAACGAAGTAAGTTCTCCCCCCCCCCCCCCCCCCCCCTGTTTTTCCCGTTTTCCGGCGAGCTGAGGAGGAAGAAGACCCAGCTGGTCTGGTTTTTTGGGCCTTTTTCTTGTTGGGCCTGTTGTTTTATTTTGGGCCAGTTCGGCCCAGTTGCAATAAAAATTAAAAATAAAATAGTAAATGAAATAAATAAAATCTGGAAAAATATAAATTAAATACCTAGTATAAATATACATATTCGGACCAACCAGAATTGGAAAATAATATTTTTAGTTATTTTTAATTGATTTAATGGTAATTGGGCCAATTTATACACATTTAGTAAATAATTAACTAAATAACGAAAATAATTATGAAATAAATATTGGAGTAAACTAGGATAAATATATGACTAACCAGGACCTTATGGACCATTTATAATTAATAAAAATAAGGTTTAGTATATTTAATTGTAATTAAACCGATTAATAGATATATGAAATTAAAGGAATAATTAGGGAAAATAATTATAAAATAGATATCTGGACAACCTAGGTCGAATATAAACCCAAAATATATTTATGGACGGTTACTACTTTATAAAGTCGATTCTTAGTCTATTTATTTAAATTAGGCCATATAAGACTAGTTAAGTAATTAAATAAGGAAATATTAATATTAATGGTGAAATAAATAAATCAGTGAGGTTGAAAAATAATATTCTGGACTAAAAATAATTTTTGAATAAAATAAGGAAAATAAATATATTCGGTTATGTAAATAAAGTAATTAGATAATAACTTATGAGTAGGGTAAATTAATAGTGATTATTGAATAAAAATTGGATGTTGTAGTCAATAATATTCGGATATTTTATTTAATATTAGAATTCAAATATTATAATTAATGGCTGAATTAATAAGGTAATTTGATTAATAAAAAGTGATTAACCAAAGTTAATGCGAATAATAAAATAAAAGGAGAAACTCGGGTAAAGTAATTACAAATAGAATAAGTGACTAATTTATCATATTTAATTAAAAAGGTGATTATCTAGAGACCGGATTAGAGGAGGATAACTAGGAGCAACAGGACTTAAGGTAAGTTTCTCTGCCAATCCAAAATTGTTTCCTCGTATTATATGCTTATTATATGCATTATGTGATTAAGTGTGAATTGTGAATTTTGTGTATGTGATTTTGAGAAGATATTATATATATGGTAGTTAAGAAGTATAAATCAAGAACTTTTGGGGTATTAAATATTTTTAAATACCTTTGAGACTTTTTAGAGAAATTAAGAAGTATTTTTGAAGTATTGTTAAGCAAAGATAAAATTTACATTTTCATAAGAAGATAGCATCTCGGGAGTAATCCGAGGTGTCGGTTTTTCCACATCCGGATAAATGTGGAGGGTGATTAGAGCTACTACTACTAAGAAGTACAGTTTAAGTTTTGGATCTATGATCCCTTTTAAGTAAGATTTGGATCTATGATCCCTTTTAAGTGAGATTTGGATCTATGATCCCTTTTAGCAAGAAGTTATAGTAGTAGTCCCTAATCATTCAAGAATTTTAGAATTGGGGTGGTTGTGTTCCGACCACTCGGGATGACTTACTACTCGGAGGGCTTGGAATCCCTTTTAGGGGGTGTGCACACTTAAAGTAGTCGTTTCGTTTCCAACAGAGCAGTTGTGGTACCGGCACTTGTTCGGGGTGGCCGTCCGTAACCACGGTCCACCGGGCTCAGTCGAAAGGTTGAGCACCGCCCTTCTAAATTACTAGGAAGTTAGAGAAGAAGTGATTTTTGAGGAAATCAAAGAGAAGAGTTATTATGAAGTTTTATAGAGAAGTTGAGGATTTTTGTAAAGAAGTAGTCTTGAGAAAAATCAAAGTGAAAAGAATTTCGATGGTGTGAGTATTTTTATATGATATTATATAAAAATCTATTTTTAGTCAAACCTGATTATTTTACGGGGTTGGGTAGTACTTACTTAGCTCTAAAGCTAATTTTTGTTATTTTTCTTGTCTCTCTCTTCTCCCTTAAATTTTATCAGGTGATGAGTTGGATACCTATGTGGATTGACGGATTGCTCGAGCTTGAGTGCGAATTAGAAGATGCCTTAGTTAAATCTAGTCATAAAACAAACATTTACTTATTATTACATTAGTTTTTATTGTTTTACTTTGAGTTGCCTGTGCATTCGGTTAAGAGATGACCGAATGTGGCGGTAACACTCATTTCCCTTTTAGACTTCCGCTGTATTTCTTCAACTCTTTGGTGAATGAATAAAGTATTTCTTTTAAAATATATCAATGTTTTGAGCGGGAAATTTAGGGGTGTTACAAATTGGTATCAGAGCCTTAAGTTTTCCGAAGGGACTAGAACACGAGGTAATAGGTCGTAGGGAGAAATTCTGTCACAAAGACGATAACAGTCTAAGCTGGTTGGTGCATAATTGAGCCTTGCGCTCATCCAACTAACTGGGAATTTCTCCTTGTGCTGAAACTTCGTTGTTCGAAATCTTTGACGAAAACTATAGTTTCGATGCGCTCATCCCCCTGTACTTTTCCGGGATGGGGGCCGAGAGCACCCTGTTGGTGAAAGGGGTCAAGGTCCTGACTTGGATGATGGGGTCACCTTGCCCTTCGGCCAACTCCCTCTCCAGGGCGTTGACCTTGTTCATGAGAGCGTTGAGGCCGGGGTCATTGGAGGCGCCAGCCGTGGGGGTGTTGGCCGACTGCCTGGCCTCCATCTGAGCCAGCCTCCTTTCCAGCTGGGCAATGACCTCGTCCCGGGGGTCCCTGGCGGCCGCAGCGGCGCCCTGCTGGTTCCTCATGCGCTCTTCGTGGGCCGCATTGATCTGGTGACGCACGTCGTCCTCGTGCAGCTTCCCTTTGCCCTTGTCCGGGCGGGGCTGGTCCGCTGTCCGGGACACAGACCCCAAGATTTCCCTTGGCGAGCCAGGCCGACGCTCACCAATCCGCCTTGCCATCCTCTCCGAGACCGGACGACGGCACGTATCACCTAGCCTATTGATGGCAGAGGCTTTTCCACGCGCTGGGGTCTACCCAGGCCGAAGAGGGGAAGCGGGGTGGGAGTGGGACGACGTCGTGTCCTGGGCCATGCCCTCCTCATCGTTACCTATATGGACGGCCAACGGTTGGGGCTGAGGAGGTGGAGTGACGTTCCCCCCGGTCCTTGGCAAGAGAGCGCTGAGGACGGTGGGGTTCTGGGCCAAGCTGGCGATGATGACCGACAGCGCGGCCTGGACCTGTGGATCCACAGACGGAGAGGCTGCGGCCATAGGCTGGGCGGGGGCGTGGTCTATCTTCTCAGCTCGTTTCTTGTCCAAGCCGATGCGGGCATCAGGGGCTCCGCCGTTGAGTTGGTTGCGGAGGTCCGTCGTGAGGTTGATGGCCTCCTGGAAGACGTCCCCTCCGCCGACTTGGTCGGCCGTAGCATCCTCGTCATGTTCCCTGGTCTCCTGGTCCGCAGGGATGGCCTTGCTGACGAGGTTGCGGTTCGACCTAGTTCTTCCCATGATCAGTGGTTAGCCGTGCTTGGTAGCGACGAAGGGTGCTAACTTGATTGTTCTAGCTCTCAATGAGAGCACCAAATGATAGAGTATTAACTCCTAGATTCTATAGAGAAGGGAGAGCTAGAGAGAGAAGTGAATTGTATTAATGAATTTTGTCCACCCTTACAACTACTCCCAAGGGGAGTATTTATAGAGAAAATACGGGCTGAGCTCCCAAGTCTTGGGCTTGGGAGGCCCATCTACAACTGGACCGCTATTGGGCCGAATACAAAGCCACTGGTGGGCTATACAAATGAATAAGTGTAAAATCCGGTTCTGTGAGACTTCCGTGGCCGACGAGGGCATGGCCGATGAGGGCATGGCCGACGAGGTCACCCAGTTCTCCGGGCTTCTGGATCATATTCTGAGTAGACCTTTTCATGGCCGATGAGGGCATGGCCGACGAGGTCACCCAGTTCTCCGGGCTTCTGGATCATATTCTGAGTAGACCTTTTCCTGGCCGATGAGGGCCGATGAGGGCATGGCCGATGAGGGCATGGCCGACGAGGGGATGGCCGATGAGGGCATGGCCGACGAGGTCACCCGATTCTCCTGACTTCTGGATCATATTCTGGGTGGCCTTCTTTCTGGCCGATGAGGGCATGACCGATGAGAGCATGGCCGATGAGAGCATGGCCGACGAGGTCACCCGGTGATCGTGGTACCTTATGTTCTTCTGAGTATGTGGGTCCTGGGGCCTAGACCCATATACTCCATCAGGCACCATTTTCCTAGGATGACACCCCATCCCTGAGGCCCCCTCAATCCCCGACCGGACGGTACGTTGGGAGGATGTAAGTTGGACTATAATCACAATCTGACAGATAGAGAGTGTGACTCAATCCCCGATCGGACGGTACATTGGGAGGATGTAAGT